AAGACTTCATTCTTATGTTGAATACCGATTTCCTTTATGGCTGGGCGCTTTGAATCCTCTACCATTCTTGTTATGGAAAATAAATCAGCAGTCATACTGCTCTGTATGTTCTCCGAAAATAAGAGCGACTCGAAAAAAAATTTATAGTTTTAATAAATGTATTAGATAAAGTCTGTAAAAAATATGCGTAAAATGAAGAATGAAAAATTGAAAAACCAGCATAAGCGTTTTGTTTCATCCTTTTTGTCGATATTCAGTACTTCACAGGGAGGCCCTGACATAAGAACACCCTGACATGCAGACAATTCGACGCACGGACAGTTTGAAACCAAAAAAGAGAAAAAACCCTGACTCGATTTCTTTAAAATGTCATGAGGTATGGACTCTTTTTCAAAAATTTCTAGAAGAAAGAAAGCCTGATTCAGTATTTGAAGTTTTGATACCGCCTGAAAATTTAGCTATAGCCTTTACTACCATGGACATTAATTCAAAATAAATCATATTATTAATTTACCTCCGTCTATCTTCCAAAACACGTTGATTTTGTCTTTTTTATATTTTTAGGGGCTTATCCATCGACTATGTACAGTGTAATAACATGTGCTTATTTTCGCCTTTCGAGCTATTCACGCTACCAAAAGTGCAGATTCTGCTTGGTTTGCTTCTGTACAGGTATTTTATGTATGTTAAAATGTTTGGAAACACTTTTTTGAATTTTCTAGGACTTTTCCCAATATTTGCTAAATATTAAAAGACATAAAAATTTTCTTTTGAAGTCTATGAAAAATGTTATGCATCATGCAGCCATTCCATCAAATAGACCCAGTCTGAGAAATACTGTAATTATGTCTGCATCTTCGAGACCCACTTTATTCAACTTTATTCAGCATTGCAGTCTTGTTGGACGCATAACGATGGAAGGTTTGTCTTATTCAAGTTGTGTAACATTTTACAGTATCTTTGAATCCGTAATTGTGCGGAGATCGTGAGACAGATTAAACTGGGTCCACCTTCGATCAAAATCGAATTACAGTATCTTAGTCAGCGGTCCGGGCCGAAACATTCAGAAATTTTCACTAAGGAATAAGTGATCGTTTATCTTGATCTATGAACAAAGAGATGGACATGAAACTGTGTTTGTGTTGCCGCGAAAAATTCCCCCGGTACACCCAACGTAATAATATACTGTACATACGGGATATTGATCCGTGCTGTGGAGCTGTTGGGATTTTAACCAACTGCAGACATCACTTAAACTGTATAACCAGCACAGACACAACAAAATTCGAATAAATTGCGGAGCATTTCAAGCTCGTAGAAAGGAATGACAAACAGCCAGGATCTACCATGACGATAATAAACATTTTGTTCAGCATAAGAAGAAAAGTTCTTGGGGTGATGAAAATCTGTCAGTAGTGCAGCAGATGTGAGCCAACCACCTGTACACAACGTTAGCCGAATGAATACACTTTTATTTTTGGAAGCGACGGTGACCTTTACTCCGTTAAAAAAACTGCACCAGTTTTTCTTCACCTGTCAAAAGCGTTACTTCTGGAGATTAACACGAGAAGAACATGCTTATTCGTCCGCTGAAGCGGAAAAATACATAATCTATGTGTTTCGAATATTTCAATCACATAGGTATTTATTGAGTATAGTACAGCATTATGTATCCGCGTACTGTATCTTGTTCATTCGATAATCACAAAATAAGCCGAGAAACTAATGCAGTATATTTACTGTAGGAATGGTTCAGAATTTTAATCGGGATCAAATGAAGTCCTCAGGGTTTCCAAGTGATGATGATGATCAACAAGCTTTATTTTCTGACTTTCCGCTTTCCAAGTGTGCATATTCCGAATCTTCCGGACCATTTTGACGCAGCCGTCTTGTGGAACGCTTTGTTGAATTCTATGCACACGGTATCTAGGAAAATTCCCTGTAAATCGCATGTTATTTTTCATCGTTTATTCAAACCCGTCTCTGTATTTTTTCTTGCAAAATTTGGGGGAAAACATGCTTGTGTCACACCAGTAAATACGATAAGCAAAATTAATTTGAAAAAAACCATGTGTAGATTACTAAGAAGTAAGAACCGAGATTCGTCGTTTATTTCCTCTTATAAACGCCCCGGTGGATAATTTCTCACTTTGAGCAGAAAATACACTCTAAATAATTTCAATCAATAAAATCGCCCCGTTTTCCAGCATTCGAATTTCTGTGTGTAGAAAATTTGCACGGTTTTATTTTTTATAGGTTGCATTTTTTTCTGATTCTTCCACCTGTTTGCAGATTATGTAATTGTATCCCCCACCGAAGAATCACTGATGAAAATTCGGGGCAGACTATAAATATACGCGCTTTAATGTGGTGAATGCTGTGATATACACAGTACTTTACTTAGCAAACGTATTTTATAACCAGACTCGTTCGCGGTGTTCTGGTCATTATTTCGAGTGCCAGAGGCTTCGTGACCAGCAGGAGCCTTCCCCTCAATTTACATTTTATCCTTACTATGTTTCCGCAATCCCGAATCGACTCATATGCGTATTCCGATTACCGTAATATATACGAACCTTATTCCGCACGCAGCCATAGACGAATCTTATGCGTGGGATAATGCGTTTTCAAATCTGTGGAGCCGGAATTATTACCTCCCTCGTGATTTCCGGGCAGCTGCATAAATACCTTCGCTTTTACATCGGAAGTTCATTATAATTCAGATTATACAGTACAATGTTCTTCTAGCGAAAACGAACGTCCCCTTGAATCGAATTGAGGCCACTTTGAATCGTTTATTTTGACGGGGCAAATTCAGAATTCGTTTCAAGTCGTTACGCAAGGTATTTGGCGGGGAATTTTTCATCGACGAGGAGTGCCTATGAATCGATTTCGTGAACACGTGAATAACTAATTGAAATATGCTGAATTGCCGATAGAGATACTGTATTTTCTTTACAAATTTTTAAAATAGTTTTAACCATGAGCAGGACAGAACTGTACAGAATTTTTAGACCTGTTTGGTGCGATTTTATTTTATTTTACGCACTGTTCCAGTTCACAAAAATACAGCTTTTTTATGTAACGTAATCTTCCAATGTCGTTTTTCGCCTGCTGCTGTTTGAAAACCTCTGTTAAATATTTTGAGAGCAATGGAAACAACGTTGCCAGTTTTGAATATATTGTATGTTATTTCCTTGAAATTTTTTCAAATGCAAACATAATTGCATGATAATAATAATATGTTGCATTTGACACTAATCTAGAATTTATTAAGTGATCAGGAATGGAACTCCTTACGATTGTTGCAGATAAAGTTTTCCTTTGACATATAGTGCAGCTTTTATTACGCAGCTGGATTTTGGGATCTGGAAACCGAAAACTTGAGTGAAGTCTTCTATATGAGAGACATTTTGCAATATTTTAAGCAATTACCTGTGATAATACTGCACGCGGAATGTCATCGAAGGCTTCAATGAAGAACAGGGCAATTTATGCGACCAAATAGTTCTGAAGGGTTGCGTGGATAATTTTTTTTCTTTCGACTTTCGTAAACAATTGAAAAAAGTATGAAAAAGTCCCTTTCAGAAATGCCTTCACATCCTCGATCGTTTTGAGTGGTTTCACGGTTTTGGAAGGGAAATGTCGGATTTGGAAATTGCAATAATCGTCGAAATCGACATTTACAAATTGCTTTCAATTCTTGAACAAAAAGAGGTGATTTAATGCGTTTGAATTGAACAAACTATATGAGAAATTATGACAAATGAATCCAATTATATACATTTTTAAATAACTGCCAGGCAAACAATCACACTGTTCGTGTCCGGATGATAAACGGTAAAAAATAAAGTCAACCGGTGTATCTTTCTCTTCCATGCCCACGATCCTTGCTCCATGCATTTAATTGCACATGTCAGTAATTTTTAAATCATATTCCGTGGAGAAAAACATTCCCTTTTTTTCAGGGACGAATTCCTGCGCCTGTAGCACAAAAACCGTCGGAAGATGTATGAGAGCAATACATGTAGCCGAAAATAAAGTTTTATTTTTTTCACCGTATACGTCAACAATGTCTTCGGAGTCGATCAGTATTTTTGGTGCTCAGACGGGCGGCGTTGATTTTTGGCATTTAGGACAGTGTTCCCTGTCCTTTTTGGGCCCAGGGACCGGCAAATCACCCTTGAAATTTTCGCGGACCCGCGAATTTCCCAAAAATGTTCAGCGGACCGGCAACGTTTTTCAACTTTTTTGCAGAAAGCTTTATTGTAGGCATTTAAAAAGCTTCTGGCTTTTTTTTATTGAGATCCAATGATGCAGGTGTATAGAAAAATATTTTCAAAAAATTAGAAAGGTGGGCTTGAGGAAAGGTTTCTCAGACTTAAAAATTTTAAATAATTTATTTCAGCATGTGAATATTTTTCTGAAGTGTAATTAAGAGAAAAGCCAAGTTTTGTTTTCTTTGGACAATTTCAACTGCCATTTGTTTTTCCGAGGTTTCAGATGAAGATACGAGACTTCATCGCTACTTTTCTCAATTTATTACGCTGCAAAAATTTCTCCGCGGACCGGCAAAAGACTTCTGCGGACCTGCATCGGTCCGCGGGTTGGCGGTTGGGGAACACTGATTTAGGCGAAATCAATTTTGTCAACCGGAAAATTATTTATGAATACTATATCCTATACAATACACTGTATATATAGGAGTCAGCAGAAGACTCGTCGCAGTTAGTTCTTTATTGCGCATTGTCAGTCAGGTGCTTTCCTCTCTTCGTCGTTGTTTTTGTTGTCGTTACGACTTCCTTCTTGACCCGTGGTGACGTCAACAGTCTACAGCGGAGAACCCGTGGCGCGCAGATGGGCTGATATTCTCTTATTCCTCCCCCACCCTATTCACCCCCCAGCAGTCGTTTGGGTGTGTGCCATGAAGCCACGGGTGTGTGAAAACCCGAACCGGCGTTACGGTCGGAAGCTTCATTTTCTGGACTAGACGAATTTCCATGACAAGATTCTGCAATGTTTTGGATCGGTTTTTGGACGGCTACTTGTGTCTGATTTTGATGGCGGTAATTGTATACGTGGACAGTACGCAAGTTAATTTTATCATTTTACGTGTGGAGATAGATCTTGTGATCTATTGTCCTCTGTGCTTCTGTGATTAACAAAATGTATTGTGAATCGAACTAGCTGTTATAATGAATTTGGGTGAAGAAGCATTCTTTTACATGCATTATACAGTATAGTGCGAATCATGAACTGAAATTCTCAGAATCCGAAAAACGTGTTACACAATATGCCCCAAATAAATAAATAAATATATATATATGTTCAGTAATTTTACATAAAACGAACGATCAGCTGGTTTATTAATTGTGGCATGTGCTTTGTAAGGTACAAGTTCCCAGATTAACCTGTGAAAAACAATAAATATCCTATGAATAACAATAATGTAATTGGTTCCAGTGAGAAATGAAATAAAGTTGAAATAAAAAATGAAGCATGAAAAATAGCCCAAAACATATTACTTGTACTTATTATTTCTAATTGAAATGTTTGCATCAGCATAATTAGAAGCAATAAGGGAATTAAAATTTCCTAAAAAATTATATACTGTATGCATATATATATATATATATATATATATATATATATATATACTGCATATTGATTTTTACTTCAATTTCAGAATAAACTGTCACAAAAAGGGATGCTGTATTTCTAAATTTTTATAATATTTTATTCTAAAAATTTGGTGTTAATTTCTTGTTTTTCTTCTTGTAGTGTTCCTCAAGTCAAGCAGATTTCTTAAGGCAAAATGTTGGCCAGACCACCACCGTTTTTTAATGCCAGCAGTTGCAAAAATAAAATCCTGACGGAGTTTAATGCAGTGTGTGGCGGATCACAAAAAGTGTGCGAAACTGAGCTCAACCAAACCTGTCAGAGGTTTGCAAGTTTTGCATACATGATCAGTGTTCACTCAACTGAAACAAAACAACATTATGAATCCCCATTATAATCCCCCTGTTATTCCCCTACATTTCCACATCATGAAAAAAATCCCTTCACCACACTCTTGCTTCTCATCAAAAAATGTGTCTGCGTGCATTATTCTCTCGAAGTATCCTGATGACGTCGATGCCAGAAGTTTTCGTCCATCTGGAAATCAAATCAGCAGCAACAACAAACCCCCTCCCCCCCCCCCCCCTCACTTCAGCGCGTGACGCAGGCTGTTCCTCGCTGCCATGGCGGATCCCCGGGTTTTGTCTCTGGTTCGAGTAGAGAGAGAAACCCAGGAACTGGGTCGGGGTTTCGTACGCAAGCTTCCTCATTGAAACCCGGGTCGAAGCCCTCCCCTCCCCCGCTCGACGGTGGGCGCCACGCAGCCCCAGATTCCCGCCATCCTCTTGCCGCACTGGGTTACTACGAAAACTTTTCCTTCATCGCCCGTATGGTATGATGTGAAAAGAAATCGAAAAGAGAATGAGGAATGGGAGAATCCACTGTGTACTGGTACATATCTTGCAATCTTCGCGTATATATAGTGGTTCAAACTACAGAGATGCTGGGATTTACGGGTTGCGTTCAACATCTGCCAGACGGGTGCTGCGAGGGTTGGATCATGAGTGATGTCATTCGTTTTTCGTAACTCCTTCGCTGAAATTGCATTATATCCTGCATTCAGAGGGAACAACTCTGATCAGCATCTGATCAGGTTGGAGACGAATGAGGACCTCCCTCACCACTCACACTTTTCATTTAGTTCTGCTGCAACATGTGTGTAGACTCGGAGACTGGCGAGAAAATTGGATGCACATTTTCCCAATTTCATTTGCCTCGGTTAGACCGTTATACAGTGCAGCAGTTTAGTGGCGCTTTATCACACTATAACTCAAGTTAATTTTAGGACTGTTCAAACAAGCGATTCTTTTATTTTGTATAGAATGGTTCATGATTTATGACAGTGGAAAAGTATAAAAATGTCACAGTTAATCATTTAGACAATGCTTTAAATGTTTTAACTGAGAGAATGAGACTTTCTCATCAACCAGACTAAAGCTTTACACTCACTTGAGCACCCATCTTTGTCCGGAGGTCGGAATATTAATTTTGGGTGTAGGAAACTTCCGAAACTATTTGGAAATCCTTTGGAAATACTGTTTTTTAAAGCATATATGCTAAAAAAAAGTATTTACACATTCACAGTCCTTCGATACTATAATCAGTGCTGCCCACCTCATATGTGGTCAAGCATGTGAGCGTATAAATAATTTTCGTGGCCAAGGGCCGCATTGCAAACGCAGAGAGTGTTTGCTGGCCACAATACACAATTTTTGAGGCTCCAAATTTTCCTGTTATAAAGGGAAAGTTTCAAATGTAATCCAGTGCTATGCGTTGAATCACAAGCTATAGATTTTATTGTAGAAATTTACAAGGGTGGAGCAACATAAATATATGTTTTTTAATGTAGATAGGGGAGAGACTGCGGGATGAACGAATAGTTTCTGCGGGGCACATGTGGCCCGCGGGCCATCTGCTGAGCAGCACTGGTACACATGTCACAGCGTACAGTACAATACTTATTATACACTCTCCTAAAATGTCATAAATGTCCGTAGGCTTTTTTCAGGATTTTTAAATTGTTCGAATGCCCGAAATTCTGTGTCCTCGTGTACTCGAAGACCCGCGTTCGTGGCATTTTCCAAGCATTTTGTTTAAACCAGTACGTGGTATGTAGACGTCTGGGTCGTGATCGATGCGTCTTTTGCGGAACAACTCCCCACGGCATGCACGAGCTGTGCAATACAGTATTGTACTGTACACTACAGTAAAGTATAGTACAGGAGAGTATATATATATATATATATATACAGTATAGTGGAATCGCGGGAGGGAAGTACGCGGGTGTACATGTATGTGAAAGGGAAGCAGGGACGTTGGGGGAAAACCGCCTGCAGTTTTTTCGTGGCCATTTCCACAAACGCGCGCCAGTTTTGTCGTCGCAGCAGCTTATGACCGCGCTGCTTGGCAGGATTGCGTCATGCAATTCCGCCACGTTCTCCCCGGTGTTTTTTGGCACGAAGAAATCAATTCTGCAGTGCAGTGCGCGCTTCTTGCCCGGGCGTGTTTCAGACTCGGGATGTTTCGTCGTCATCTCGGAGGACAATTCCTGTGCGGCGGCGAGAAAAGTGATTCCGAACAAGCGACGATGAGTAGCAGAAAGTTTCTTTCGCCGGTTCGACTTGAGTTTGTCGTCGTTTTTCGCCCCTTTTCTCATCGACCTGCTGAGGAATTTAGATCATCGAGTGACTTGGATGAGGGAATAATAATGAAATTGGATCTGCAATTGATGAACGGATAAAAATATTCTCAAAGTTGGAAGTATTGTACTCTCGTATGATCTGAAGTAAAATTGTCAATATATTCTCGTGAATTTCGACGAACGCCTTTGAGAATGACCTCATGAACTGTTCCATGAAAATGTTCGGTGATGTGTAGTATTTTACAGTATTTATTTTTACTTATGTTCATCACCATGAGCTCGTTTATTTGTTTTCATTGAAAATTTCAAATTTTGTCAGACTTCAAATGAGTATTTTTTTTTGAACATTTTTCGTGGATCGAAGGAAGTGGTTCTTATTGGTGTCAACTTGAAACGAATCGGAACGTGCTTTCACCCGGTGAATCTTACCTCGTCTTGTTTTTTATTTATTTTTTACATCTAGCCACTGTAGAACTTGAATTTTCCTGCTGAACAAGAAACATTCTCCCGTGTGATGCGATTTTTTAGATGCTATAAATGAAAGAATATATGAGAGGGAAACATTGCCTGACGTCAAATCGGCGACATCATTGCAAAATTCTCCCTAGAGCGACACATTTCCTAAATGATCCCATCAACTTTTCTCAAAAAAACGCTGATCCAGATCTGTCGTTTTGGCTGTTCGTGATTCTCACATGCGCTCCATTATTCTAAAATATTGTGTTGGCTTTCTGATTTTCTTCGAACTGATCTTGATTTTACGTGCATTCCCCAGTTCATCCGAACGATGATTTATTGAATGCCGCTTTGTTCGATTGTTTCCGCTCACGTTTGAAAATGGAGCACAATTAATCAAATTCTCAAACTACCGTATATGCTACTAAATTTTTCTAAAAAATTCTTCACCACAGAAGGTGTGTTCTGTTTGTCAAGCGTTTTGAAACTTTCCGATATTAAAGTCGTATGAATTTCAGTGTTGACAGAGACGGATCTGTACTTGTTTTGAATTTGATTTCTTTCAACAACTTCCCTTCCTTCACTGATGCACAAGTTCTAATGTCAACTACTGTACTGTACTCCACTGTACTGCTGCTGATCGTATGTACTGCTTGCCTGGTCAGTTATTTTTTTATGCTATAAAAATGTATGATGATCTTCGTGATTTTTGGCAATCGTCTTCGAACAACGTTATTACAGTACAGCACTACCATTATGCGGCTCTCACCATTCGAATGTGTATTATTTTCAAGTGTTATTGAAAATGCTGATTTATTATTCATACCTTATTTTACGCTTTTCGTGCTGGAATCCGAAATTAAAAAGAGTACAGAATTTATAATTTTCGTCGCAGAGTATGCAAAAGATGTTTCCGACATTTTCCGCAGAAATTTGCTTGCTAAGTTGAATTGAATTCCATTTGTCACACTTCCGTTTCGTTGATAGTTTGTCGAAGTTCGTCTGATAAATGAGAAGTAGTAAAAAGAAAATCTCTTTAAAACGACGCCTGAATGTTTGGCTTAGAAAACTTTTGAATTATTGCTAATGATCAAAAAAGCAAGATATTGATTTCTAATTTCCAGAATGGCATAAGCGTCTTGTTTTGGACAAAAATTTGTGTGAGATTCGAGAGTACACCACTCGTGTTTTTTCCTCAAATGTCTGAATTTTTTGCTCAGCACGGAATATTAAAGAATATTTTTAAAAATTTGTTGGTATGAAAAAGGAAATGTTTATAAGTGTCTGCCGAGAAGGGCGGAACCCCCGTCCCGCGTCAATTACGACTGCTGCCAGGTCCCCCTTTGTATTCCGTGACACATGTACACAAATCGTGAGAAAAATCGCGAACACGTTTACCATGTCAAGCTTGAACAAACCTCTCTCCTCCAGCACCCCTTGGTTTAACTTCCCCCAAAAAGGAGGAACTCAATTAATGCTAACAAGCCCACACACCACGAAACCTTAGGATTCATCTCGCGTTCTGGCGTCAGTGAACACACAAGTACTTGCGATACGCTTGGTTCATGTCAACCATCTTTTGAGTCACGAATTTTGAGTTTATTTTTTCTGAGCTGTGGGCAGTGATTTTTTTTTTTGTGCCTGACGATTTTGGAATTCCTTTTTTTTTGTGGGGTCAGTAGTTTCCGACGGGGTCACGTTGAGCGTGATCAGTGAGACCTGTTGGGGCGTTAACCATTCGCTCACGAAGGATCCGTTTTCTTCGATTTTTTTTTGGCCTATGCGATCAACAATTTTTTCTACAGTCATAAGCTCCGTGTGTTTTTCCCCCGCCTCATTGGCTAGATATCTTATTTAATAGAATAATGTACAATCATGAGAAGCCATTAATTTTACGACTCGGATTTTATTCTTGACGCTTCAAACGTGAGTACTCAATTTCATGGCATTTAGTTTCTAAGGGATCCGAGGATCGAGTTTTGAAAACGCTGCTCACGCTTCGATTTCTCACTTGATATCCTCAGACACATATACTGTAGTATCAACAGGATTCTTGTTCTGTACCCTTGAACCAAGAATTATGGCAAGGATTTTTTAAAATTTTCATTTTGGATTCAAATTTAATTCAAAAGTTGTATTCTTCTCAGAAGGCCTTGGACCCGTCCCAAGAGCGAAGCGAATACGATAACAAATTGAAGACGGCAGCGAATTATACAGTAATGAATTCTCTATTGAGTAAAAATTTCAAACTTCATTCTTTTATGTCTTCACGAAGCTGGAATTTGAAGACGTGTCGTTTTAATAACGAACTGCGATCGTCTGAACGCTCAGTTTTCCTCTTTTATCCTGATCAAATCACGCACAACCAGAGTTTATCCAGCTAAAATGTTCGTTTTCGCGGAGAACCGAGAACATGAGAGATTTCTTGACGCAGTGAAAATGTAACTTTTTTCGCTCAGTCTGTTCTCTCACCAGATTCTCCAGACAAGATTAAACAAATGCTATTCAGATTAATCGGAGTGCAACGACAATATATAACCAGCTGTTCCTGTTGTTGTTCATAATCTTGCAATGATGATTCAGCAAGAACTTGTTTAGTGCAAGAACGTGCGTCTAGCATAATTTATCGAGTACTTTTTAAGAATAACAAACTAACGGTTATTCAAGGTCCATGAAGTCATTTGTTCAGTATTCCTGGAGTTTTAACAGTAACTTAAGGCAACTGTTTGACGGGTAACTGCGCTTCAGACCGCTTATCCTGGTTTTTAACCTGCATGTGGAATGTGTATGCATATTGGGTAGCAAGTTTTTCAAGATGTCTTCAATTTGACAATCAAAGTTATGGATAGCATTTGTATTTTGTGAGATTATTGCATAGCTGGTCCATGTGATCTGCAACCTGTACAAGTCAGGTGACATCCCTATTTTAATTGGAGGACAGTTCGAATTTTTTTTTTCTTTTACCCGTGTTCCCCAACCTTTTTGGGACTGCGGACTGGCAAATTTTCATAAAATTTTCTGCAGACCGGCAAAGTTCCATAAAAGTGTGGCAGATCCGCAGAAAAGTTTTTAAATACTGTACCTGCATAAAGTTTTCCAAAACCGAGTTTCTGTTAAAATAATTAGTTTAAGGGAAAATGAGGCAGCAATATTGGAATGTCTTCAAAAAATTACAAAGCTGAACTTGAAGAAATGTCTCTCAGAAAGAAAACTTTAAATAATATATTCCAGCAGGTGAAAATTTGAAGTGTTAACAGGAGAAAGGCCAATTTTTACTCTCAATCAGATACTGTGCTGTAATTTCAACTGCCGTTTTCGTTCTGAAATGTCAGATAACAATGACTGACTTAATTACAAATTTTGATGCATTTATTATGCGGAAGAAAATTTCCTGCGGACTAGCAAAAAAAAAACTTCTGCGGACCAGCGCCGGTCCGAAGACCACGGGTTGCAGACCACTGATGGTTTAAATAATGTTCTTTAATCAGATTCGATAAACTGGCTGCATGCTTTCAGATTCTTGCGAGTACCGAGTGATGTTTCGGAATTATTTAGTGATTACGCATTTTAAATGACCAGAATGCTCGTATATGTGTCTTCGACTTGTTGTCGCAATTCCAGGAAGGCAAACTACTTCGCGCGCAGTTCCACTCGCAGACCTCCGCTGGCCGTTGCCAGCTATAAACTGCTCGCGCCGTTTTCAACGAGTCGCTTGTTCGGTGACCCTTTTTAAAAGAACAAATTACAAATAAACAGAATCAGATCAAAGGAAAAGGTATAAGCCAAGGCTGAAATCATGGGTGAAGGGAAGAACTCGTACAGTCCGGCGGACAAGGAGGAGCGGGAGAAGATGATGCCGGACGGCGAAGGGCCGTCGGCGCTGCAGATTGACGAAGGGACGCCAGCGCTGAAGCCCAAGCTGGGACTCATGAACGGCGTCACTGTCATTGTGGGCAGTATCATTGGCAGTGGGATCTTCATCTCGCCCACAGGCGTCCTCAAGGGCACTGGGTCATCGGGCATGGCGCTCATCATGTGGACAGTGTGCGGGATCTTCTCGACCATCGGCGCCTACTGCTACTGCGAGCTCGGCTGCATGATAACCAAGTACGTTAGAATCACCGCATGCTGCTGTACTTGGCTTTTTCTTTTCTCTCAAAAGGGATGAAACCTGGTCCTTGAAATTTGGTTGAATCAGTTGCGGTACTGTATTATTCGTCAATGAGGCTCTGAATATCCCTGAATGTATAGTTGAATACCTTATTTATTCGAGTAACCTCAAGTACGGTGCGCACCTTAGTTTTCAGTGTTACCAAACCCTTTTTTTTAAAACTCAATCGTGTAAAAATTTGATTCAAGCCCACTTACAAGCCGAGTTCAACAATGATATTTTGTCTTCTCAAGCAAATCATCGAAAAAACCTCGATACACTTTTACCCAGGTGAAAAAATATCAGAAATTGAAAAAAATCGGTATCTAGCAAATTCGTACCCGTCAATGACGCTCAACGCCTTTTTGCCCCTGTTTCTTAAAAAAATGGTGCGAGTCGTACTCGAGTACAGTAAATACCGTACGTTGTGGTGCTATATTTTTTATCAGTGCTCGGGATATGAATGGCGGACCCGCGGATTTTTGTCGCATTTTCACGCAACAATTTTTAGAAAAAGTCGTTGTCAGATTCAAGCCATTGTTGGTCAATGACGAACAAATTTTGGACTAATTTTTACGCAGCAATTTTTTTTTTAAATTCGAGTTCAGATTCGAGCGGAAGTTATTTTCGAGTTATGTTGAATCAGAAGTTCAAAAGAATATTGAAGCAATCATCAGTCGATTTTCTTTGAAATGGGAAGTATCTTTTGAAAAATTCAACTAATTTTAAATACTTCATTCCAGGTAAACCTGTTCTCTCTTTTCTGTGGTTATAACTTCTTTGATTCCGTTCAATTCCATCAACTCTATTAAAATTGAATTCTGAAATAAATCTGTGTTTCCCACGCGTAATTAGGAAATATGTCATACTAGCAGCAAGCGTTTGTGTTGCATCAAAACCTAGTGAACTCGTTGAAAGTACGGATTATTGGGAATTGGACATTCCGTGTTACTAATAAAATGAATTTTTTTATTTCCTCAATGCTCTTCTGTATAGTTTCTATATTGCATTTCTTTCAATACAGGATACTCACTGGGCCTTAATTTTCGCTCGATCTGTAGTTGCCTCAGTTTTTATCCGGCAAATACTGTAGAGCTTTAGCAAACGTTCCGTTTCGAATTCATGAACTGTGTTCCTCGTGTCATCTAAAACCGAAGCGAATCTCAGTACAGAAATGAACTCTAGTCCATTAAAAAAAAGCAAAAATAAAATGTTCGATGTTGAGCCGCGAAAAAACGAAGTGGGGAAAAGTTTCTTCGGAAGGGAAATGATCTATTCCCGTGTTGCTGAGCAACAACCCGTTTCCTCATTAAACCTCTCGGTAATCTGATATAGTGTACGACGTAACAAATCTAAGTGAGTGATTGATCAACCTTTCCATGAGCATTTATTCTCTTTTTTCTTTTCAAGACAGCGGGAATAATACGAGAAACGGAAGTATTTTTCGGGTGTTGCTTCGTTATATATACTGTCCATATATCCAGAATCTCAAAATAATGTAAAGGAACCTGGGCATCACACACTCAATTATCCCATGACGAAGCTCATCGATACGGAATAAAAAATAAAAACGTAAATTATTTTTTTTTTTCTCTCGCGTAGGTCCGGAGCAGATTACGCCTACATCATGGAGGCGTTTGGGCCTTTCTGCGGATTCCTGCGACTGTGGGTGGAGTGCATGATTGTGAGACCAGCTTCTCAGGCGATCGTCTCGCTCACCTTCGCCATTTACGCCCTGAGGCCGTTTTATGCGGACTGCGAGTCTCCGGATGACGCCCAACGGCTTCTGGCTGCGTCTTGCATTTGTGAGTGACAGTTGTTATTCTCACTATTCCAGCGATAGTATGCTGAATTAGTGTATAGTGTATCATTATCGTTTTTTTTGAGACCACGTCTTCCCCTTATTTACGCGCGTTTAAGCTGGCAAACGAAATTGGGTCTAATTTTCTCGCAAATATGATGGGGAGAGAGACGAAACCTGCGAGGGATGTACCGGAAATAAGTGGTTTCATAAACTTGCCATTATAGACTGGACGAGGATCAAAAGTAGAACGGGTTGGTTCATGAATGTAGTCGTTCATGTGCTTCCGTGGTTCAAGTATTCTTGTACTGTTATAATGATGAAGATTATTTTTACGAAGTGATATTCGACCGATTTCCAGCGAATAATTCGTCTTTTTCCGAATTCGAATGACTTGGACATCCGAAGATTCTCATTTTAATGTACTGACGAAAGTTTGAATCATCCCTCGTATTTCGCGCATTATTTTTTCTGAATAATTATTGCTCATTCCCTTCGCTGACCAAAAAAGCTTTCTTTCGACGACAGTTCGAAAATATATGCTGAAAATACCGGTATATGATTTTAAATTTCAGGAGGCAGCGTTTTGGAGCGAATTTACAGTGTTTCATTCTAAAAATGTCTGCAGCAGAGAAATGGTCGGATTTTTTTTAAATGTGATCTGCACCGTTTGTCAAGACCAGAATATTGTAGTTAAAAAACACGAGTCCCCAGTTGGGCATTCCCTAAATGTTTTTGATGCACTGTAATTTATAATCTTAACTATTTTCTGAGCCGTGCGACCACTCAGATACGAGGTACAGCTATATAAACATTGATGACTCTTTATTTCGGAGAATCACAAGTGTACGAAAATAATTCTCCAGACGGATGTAAATTAATGCACAACAGCACTGTATTTGTCTATGACTCTTCATTCTCCAGTTCGTCTGGTGTCTGGATCTCCGTAGTACTTGCAGTTGTACGATGATCGTGCCAAGTTTGTGGCAGAGTTCTTTATCAATGACACGTTCGTCGAGTTGGCTGCTTCCCCGAACTATATAATTGTTTGATTCCGAGGAAAAGCGAGGAATACGATTTTTGTTTTGTTTCACAAAACGTACCACGTCTTGAGTCCATGTGTTAGACAATTTATGTTTCCAGAAGCCCTGCTTTTGAATTTATTCCTTTTAGTCCACGATTAGAATGCTTTATTGAAGTTCGTTTTTTGTTATTATTGTTGCTTGGAAATCAAATTCCTTAGTGACTTGACCTGTTTACTAATTGAAAAAATAAAATAAAAACCTCAAGTATCGGAGAAGAAATTAGTCAGCACTGTCGACGCTGTCTCGTAAATTCCGGTGTCATGTTACCTGACCACAATAAAGCCATTCAGCGACGCTAAGCGCGACATTTATTCCTCAAGGAAATTATTTGCATCACTTTTGGCAGCAAACCATCGTCCGCAGTCTCTAGACTAGACTATACTAGACTAGACTAGACAGTCATATTCTCTTCCGCGTTCGTTCGTCATTCACGTTTGATGTTCTTCTGAATATCCTAAGTATGACGTGTGCGCCAAGATTTTTCTGCTGGAAATGAGAATCGTGCACCGAACTGCGTCGTGTCCGTTAGAAACTGTCGTGGGAACAGCATGTTCCTTTGATGGGGTTCGTTGGCATTTTAAAAACATTATTAATGATTTATGCGAATTATTAGCGTGCTATTTTATGCCCCAGCGTCTAATAAATTTTGTCACAAAATGTCGTAAAACGGTGTCGGCTTTAGCTTCTCTCAAGGATTTTAAAATTTCCATCGAGGGTTTTTGAGCTAACTCCATCTGTCTTTGTCACGTTTTATGCGTAATTTTTTTTTTTTTTACGAATGGGAATTTGTTTAAAAATAGCATGCCTTCGAAATTACTCAGAATTGTATTTATTGGGTTCAAGTACATTTTAAACAGACATATAGACTTCACAATGCATGAAAAAATTGAATAATATACTGCGCCCTTCAGCTTTCATAGTTCAGACATTTGGCTGCTGTTCTAAAAACTTTTACAGCGTTTTTTAGATGCAGGTTTTTTTTTAGCATAGACGTAGAAATAATTTGACAGGTAGTACATGGAAATATTATACAACCCGTTCAAAGGGGGTAAATGTAACTTTCATTTGAGCCGAATGTAGCTTTTCGAAATACGCAGTTTTTTTACACTTTTTTATTGTTCTAAAATTTTCAGGGGTTACCGAGTATCATTTAAAAAAAATTTCGACAAGTTAATGAAATCCGGTGACATCCGAAAAAGAAATCTAATTTTATATGAAGGAATACCCTGAATTACTGAGCGTTTAGCGAGCCTTTAGTATACGCCTAATTTTATTCTCAATCTCCCCTTGGAAGTCGAAATGATGAACAAACACTGTATATTTAAGGTACTATATATCCCGGCATTCAGCCCTTCAGAATATTACAGATTTTCAACTTAAACTCGGAAAATAAATCCTCATTTTTTGCTTCAGGATATTTATATGCAAAAAATATACCTGTCCGAATTTTCCCTGGAATACGCGGCCATAATTCCCACGGAATGCATTGTCGCATTCTTCTTTCTCCGAATTTGCAGAATTTTAATTTATTTTCTTGATTGTTTTCTAGTTTGTTTATTTATTTACCAGTGACAGCTGAAACTTGCCCCCACCATCTCTGCACTACGTATGTGTCTCACTGTTCAACGACCGTTGACCTAAAAATAGGTCGTTGATGCTACTGTGTTGGTGACCCCGTGTGCATTTGTGTTTTTCGTGCGGGTATAGAAACAAGACCTGACCCAAGCCGGATACTCGATGTGACTATGCAGAAGAGCAAAGTTAGCTCTTTGTAAAAAGATGTAAAAAGATGCGAAGATTCCTAAGTTCGTCGTTTAGGTTTCCAGGCTTTTTTGGCAAGCGAAGCGAGACACGTGTTCACCGCGTTTAATGACTCGTGAAGCCGTATTCTATCTTGAAAGACTGATTTAAAGAACAAATTAAATTTAAAATTACTCTGACGTCAATAAATGCGTGGGCAACATCCAATTTACGCAACTGCAAAAACCGAAATTTCTGGACAAAAGAATTCGCGTTGACTCGCAAAATGTTCTGGGTTAGTCGCGATTGTATTTCTTCACGAGGCCCCGTGAATTTCACGAAGTGTGTCTTCTAAATTTGAACAACGGTTGGTTTGTAAATTTCGTAAATTACTTAGAATATTTCGACTGGGATTTCTCAGCTCCAAAATTGAGCTATCCTAAGCGTAATTTTGTCAGATAAATTCGCTAAAATCTGTTTACAATATTATAATTTTTTATTTTCACTGACTTGAATTGAAATTTTAAGCCCATGAACCCGTCATGGACGACAAGTCTAAAAATCGACCTCAGTCGAATTCCTGAATATCCGAGACCCTCAAAATTACGTAGAATCCGTGCTGAAAAGTGGGAAATATCGTCGATTCTAGTTTTTATTTTAATTAAGACATAACCTACTGTATTGCAGTCTGACGTTGGAAAACGTCTTCTTTTCGTATTTTGCCAAATGCCGCACAATTGCCCGAAAATTCCTTAATCCCTCGTTCTGGTCAAAAAATTGCTAAGATTCGCTAAGAGGTGCCGAAATCCGTAATTATAGTGGCCAATTGTTTTCAACATTATCGCGCAACTCTGAGTTCGAGGTAATTTCACCCTTGTTTGTTTTATTTGGTGGAACCAAGGTTGAGCCATCTGCTCATTTTTGAAAGTTGTAAGTGGTATACAGAAATGGTAAACCGTAGCTAGACAGAAATGTGGGACATTTTTAAAATTCTCTCTTATTCGTTTCCGGGCCAAAAAAAAAAAAAACTTTGGGTTTGCTCGCCTGAAATGTTCCTCATAGTTCAAGAGAAAAACTTTGATCCGCATCTGTTCGTTTTCGACGACTGGGATTGAAATACTTGTACGTGCAGTATTGCTAAAACTTCTGTACCAACCCTCGTAGATCTTCCTTCATCGTAGATTCCACACCCCGACTTGCCTGACTCAATGCAGTCAAACTGTATGTTTTTATTTTATATAATTTTTTCTCATGCAGGCCAATGAATAATAACGGGTCACGTCCTGCGCGTTCCTTCGAACAATTCTTCTTTCCATACCCATCCAACCGCAGTATCCATAATCGGGATGAAGATTAATTCACGCCGGAAAAGCCAGAATCGCGTTGCGTGCGCAGACGGGAAAACCTCTGTCGCTCTTTGCTTTTAGCGTTGCTGCGCCCCCCAACTAACGGAAAAATACCATGTAAAAATAATATGAGCAGGAGGATTCTGATGGAGGGAAAATGCACTATTTTTTTATTACCGAAAAATATAAATCCAGCATTTAAAAGACCGAGAAAAAATACATGGGCTGAAATTGCTGCGGTGGAGTATGCATATTTGCCACGCCCGAGTTCGCGCACATGTCACTTTCAGTTTGAGAGAATATAAAAATAATTTTTAAATCAGGTCATGGCGGGAATCGGATGAGGGGAAGAAAACCGGAAATGACAGAATCTTCTTTTTTTTTATCAGTTTTTGCCATTGCAGTATCCTTGAAAGTGCTTTTTTTTGTTGTGGAAATTTGGTTTGATGTGCAATTTCACTTCGTGGTTTTAGCGTTAGAACAGGGCAGCATTTCCACGATGTACGAGTGAGTGTACAGCTTGAAATATTGTAAATCATTTTTATGTCTAGAAGAATGTTTTAGGGAAATGTATTGATAAATATCAAGAAAAAATTTATATATTTTGAGAGATTGTTGTTTTTCTCGCCCGAAGTTTTCAAATAATCACTGTTTTTTTGCAAGGTTTTTCTTACATCTTTATTTTTAAATTCGGCGAAGTTAACTTTTCCGGCTGAATTACCGCAGCTTGAACCATGGATTTTTCCTGACATTTTATTTTGTCCGAAAGGTTTCAAAATACAGTATGTTATTTTATTGAAATAAATATTTTGTTTTGCGAATTCGTGGCGAAA